CTGGCTTTGGGGAAAAGTGAGAGGTATGTCATCACTGACTGCTCATCCACAGCTGGATCAAGAATCTCCTCTGGGGCTATGAGCTTGATAAAAGTTAAATATAAAAAAAAAGATTCACAAATTGATATGAGCAAATCAATCACTTAGAATGTTGTCAAAATGCAAGTAAAATAACTAGCCAGTCTATTCTGGTTGAACTCACCTGTGGAATTCCAAGCCAATCATCTGCTTGCTGCATGGCTTCTTTAGTGTTACTCACCCGATGCACCGTGTCCCAGCTCTCCCAGTCAGGACACAAGCCTGCACAAACCAGAAAAATCATTTCGTAAGACAAAAACCATTTTTTTCTTTCAACACATCCAAAAAGAAAGAAATCACATGACCACGGGGAGTTTGCTATATAAGAATACTATATAAGAGCACTATATAAAAAAAAAACTTGGTTTACCTGGTGCCAGTCCATCCACTAATGCACCGAGGGCCTTGCCATCCTGCCAGTCCTGGCTGAAGTTAGTTATGGGCAGCTCAGGGACTTTGTTTTGGATCCATCCCAGAAGCCTCATCTCTGGAGTCAGTTTGGAGACAGAATCGTTTGCCTCATCCTCCCACACCAGGGTGGAGATGGAGTAATGCTGTATCAGGGTCCACACTAGACCCAGGATCAGCTTCAAGTTCCCGTCCACTATGGCCTTACTGTCTGTATGGAGACAGTGAAGGTGTGTCTGTTTGTTCTTTCAATTTAGAGACCTTCACTTGGCGACATAAATTTTATTTATTTAAATACACCAAATGCTTTTTGTCGTTTAGCCATTACATTCAAACAAGAGAGTTCAGCTGGGAACATTGTTCTAGTCCAGGAAACAGCTAATCGACTGAAGTGCCGTCCCCAATTTGACACTAGGACACTTTGACCCAAAGACTACCCTCCCTAATTAGGGAAAGGGCCACAGGAATTTATATGAAAAACATGTGGGACCCGCAATTCAACACCTGATAATGTCTTTCTGAAGAAATGCTAATGCTTTTCAGACAACAGGCGCAACTTATTGACATTGCAGCTGACCTTCATTAAGAGATAAATTTAACTATTAGTCATATATACGTAGATACAATAAAGATGCTAATCACCAGTGTTATATTATTTACATAGAGTTAATATTTTGAATTATCTTATTTTTATATTTTCAGTTTTCTTTTTCCATTTTAGTTTATCTTATTAATTTTGTCATTTCTTTGTTTATTTTTAAAATATTTATATTTAGCGTTATTTTTACGTCATTTTTAGTCATTTTGGTTCTTCAACTTCAACTTAATTTTAGACAGTTGCCAAGCAAACATTTCTAATTTCTGAGTTTTTCTATCTCCTATTTACATTTATATTTTATTTCAGCTTAATTTAAATTAACAAAGACAATTTTAATAGTTATAGTTAACAATAACAACCCTGCCAATCACCTCATAATTGTAAATGGAAATTAAACAATGTAAAGTGAATGTTTAAAGCTAAATTACTATAACCAAATTGAAACCTGATGTTCACCTATATGGTGTAATAGCCTCAGTTGCTGTAAGCCAGAAACATTGTTAACAGCATACAGACAATTATACTTGCTATTTTGTCTAATTAGTATAATTAAAGGTTAATTATGGCTTGTTCATTCTAATTACATGCTTTTAATTTAAGGGTAAAGTATGAACATGGATTAGCAAGTTAACCCTGTTTATTCATGCAGTAGGTGCTTTGACATACTCAATATGTACTAAAAAAAAATAATAAAATCATGGCACAGTCTCTGTGATGTTACTGCTTACAAAAAAAATAAAATAAAAGATTTTGAAAACTTTGAAAACATTGATGACTTTCACAATTCTCTCCAACTCATCTATTATTCTCCTGATATATTTGCTCCGGATCTGTACATATTTTTGAACACCTGACTTTAAATCAGCAGATTGCTTCATTGTGAACTTCAAAACCATTCAGAAACTAGATCCTTAAAATGTTGTACATATGGGTTTAAAATGACTTGAGAAAACTATTAATAGATTGTTGTGAACACCTTCTTTTGAATGAGTTCAGGCATGTTGTAACTCACCTATAGACACCAACTTAACTTTTTCATGCTCCAAAAACTCCAGAGCCACCGAAACATTGTCTAGCTTGAGCTGTCTGAAGGTTGGTCGCGTGTGGTACTTTCTAAACATCCTTTTATGGCTCAGGACCTCCAGCAGCGAGATAAGGATGAGGCCATCGCTCAGGTCGAACTTAAGATCGCCGATCTGCAGCTCCACAGATTTCAGGTGTTCGTTGCACCAGCGCGTGAAGGTGTTCTTCTGAATCTTTTTCCACGGTGCATCATCTGCCAGGTTAATTGCAGCTGCAGTAACACTACCTTTAAAGTCACCCATCGTTCTCTCTGATAAGCGTGGAGTCCAAAACCTTTTATACCAAACTGAGAGCTGCAATCTAAGAGCCGTGAAGCATGAAGCTTTCATGTAGCTTCGCTGGTGGTGGGAGTGCCCTACACCCCCCAATTCTGGCCCATAATTATGATTATACAGCGCCTCTGAGAGCTGTTTTTACTCTGACATGAACCGTGTCATCATGCCGCAACCCCACATCGTGCAAAGGAATAATAAAAACAGATTCTAGTTACATCAGTGCTTGAAGAATGTATTTACTAGGAAGACGGGGTCAGAAACAGGATCCTCAGGCCTGGGGAATTCAGCTAATTCCCACCTGCAGCCAGATGAAGGTCTGACATCACTGTTGCTGATAACCTTATCGCTGGTGACGTTACTCTTCATTTACTCCAGAATAAACTGAGCGTATTATTGCCAGAGCTCTTTTGATCGGGGCACGTCCTCGTATTTCCCATGCGGTGTCGAAGAGGGATGACTCATTGGGGCGGACTGCATTACACCATGGAAGCGTGTGCCTTTGGCTGCAGCTTTATGACAAACTTGGTTATGGGGCCATCGATTTGCAGGAGTGCATTTAGGTGCCCAGAATTGGTTTTTGTTTTAATTAGTGTATATTGCAAATCTTAATACTCTGCAAGGTTATTATAGGGCTTGGTATCAATTTCCCAGATTGATTTGATTCAGATTCATTTCAGTTATATACATGTCCACTTTGCTTACATAGTCTTCTTACAGTAAGAAGTGTAAGGCAGTATTAAAAGAACTGGCTGAGTTACTCATTTCTGGAATCAGACTACATAGCTCACTTTTGTCTCAAGACTCAGACTAACATTTGCTGTGCTCTGTTTTTGATTCACTAGAAAGAACCGGTTCATCAGTCATTTGTGGTAAAAACAAAGACTAACACTAGTCACACTCAGTGCTGCCAAGTCTGCGGTTTTCATGCAGTTTTTTTTTTTTTTTTAAGTCCACGGTTTAAAGCGATCTCTCTATCTTGCCATTTCAAAGTAGAGGAGCCACAACAGAGGGGAAAAACCTAGAAAAAAACCGCAATTGTGATCGTTTTCACTAGCAATTGGGCTGTTTGTTCCGAAGACCTGGCAACCCTGGTCACACTGCATGCTTATGATTCACTAAAAAGAACCGGCTCATAAGAGACATTGTGAATCAAATTACAGTGGTCAAATTGTATATTGCGAGGCCAACTGAGGAAAATATATTTCTTGCTATAAAGATGCCACGTACCATGAAATAACAGAAAAAAAATAATGGTCGTTATTGGATTACATGCAATACAGACTGCAAACTCAGACTGACACAACATAATAGCTTTTTCTGTTGTAATATAAAAACTAACATGAATTAAAAATGAATAAATTAACATTAATCTAAATTAGCAATAAGCAATTTTTTACTGCATATATTAGTTAATGGTTCCAAACCTCAACAAATTGATACTATTGTAAAGTTGTTCAAATTAAATTCAGCCAATATGCATAAATAAATGTATACAAATTAAACGGGGACTTAATAGGGTTGAACTTCACTTTTGCTTATTTATTGCAATTATCATATCTGTTAGATCGGGTAGTTTTTCTCTGTACAAGTAATAAACATAATAAATCATAAACACTATATTATAGGTCTCTTTCGGACACATTAGCGCTCAAATGTCCTAAAAAACAGTGCTTATCATCATCATCATCATCATTAATAATATGTCAAATCCTTACCACAATAAAGTACAGACAGTAGACTAATCACTAATGGCTTCGTATAAGGTGCAAAGACACATACACAATACATGGCAGATTTAGGCCTTTAAGCCACAAAACATATGATCGAGTTAAAACTTAATGGATCTCAATGGTCTTGAATATGTTATTGCAGTGGGCTTTACAATTCTGAATCATTTCTCACGGAAGTGTTCATTCAGGGAGGTATAAACGTTTGTTTATCTAAGGTTATGTTATATAAGGCAATTTACTAATTGTAACTTCACTTTTGCTTATTTATTGCAATTATCATATCAGTTAGATTGGGTAGTTTTTCTCTGTACAAGTAATAAACAAATCATAAACACTATATTATAGGTCTCTTTCGGACACATTAGCGCTCAAATGTCCTAAAAAAACAGTGCTTATCATCATCATCATCATCATTAATAATATGTCAAATCCTTACCACAATAAAGTACAGTGCATAGACTAATCACTAATGGCTTCGTATAAGGTGCAAAGACACATACACAATACATGGCAGATTTAGGCCTTTAAGCCACAAAACATATGATCGAGTTAAAACTTAATGGATCTCAATGGTCTTGAATATGTTATTGCAGTGGGCTTTACAATTCTGAATCATTTCTCACGGAAGTGTTCATTCAGGGAGGTATAAACGTTTGTTTATCTAAGGTTATGTTATATAAGGCAATTTACTAATTGTTTGTTTGGCAAAGCAACAGTGTTCAATAAAATACCTGTTATTAGCCAGATACTTCAAAAAGCAATGCATACAGAACCGGCAATTTAAAAATAAAATGATATATGGTGCAAATAAGGGAACCTTGTGACATGTTATTATTCTAAGGCCTTCGATACTTGAGTAAGAAGTTGCATTTAAACACTCGTTACTCAAACTAACACCACACAGACTAAAAGGATACAAATGTTAACACGTTTGAGAAACATTTACTAGGTATGCATGTCATGGTGAATGTGCTTGTTACTGGTTCATCACGTTGTTCATTTTGAGGTCTTTGAAAGCAAATACCCCGTCACGGCAACGGTCACAGCAGCGACGGGCATCCACCTGATCCATTTTCCCTGCAAGAACAAACATACAGATCACATCATCTGTAGTACCGCATCGCTTATCAGAACATGTTTACAATCAGGGATGCACATGAGCCGAGACGGGGACACAAAAGCCACAAGGACGGGACGCGGAGAAACTGAGGTCAGGACACACAAGACGAGGACAACAGAAGACGTACGGTGGAGGACAAAGAGAGCCGGGATGCCTCAGAGCTACGCTGGAAAACTACAACCTACAAAATGGGGTTGATTTGTTAGAGACACTTGTTAGTGTGCGTCTTATAATACAAAGTGGACCTGTAGTAGGGAAAGAGAAGCATTTTGCGGACGAGCGGACAGTATTTGGTAGCTTAAGCTGAGATAATGGTTTAGTGGTCATGCATAGCCCTGAGGATGATGGAGGCTTAAGCAGAGGAATGAGACGGGACAGGAGCACTGTGTACCTTTCTACCATAATGGGCCCAAGCACCAATACAGCAAAGCCAGGACAAGGCCGATGGCTACGGCTAGGATGGGCTGCAATAAAGACAGCTAAAGGAGGGAAGGGAGGGATATTACTGAATGAGTGGCTTATGTTTCTGTGCGCTATTATTGGACTGGTGAATTTAACATTAAGATAAGGAAATCAAAAAGGTGAAGTGTGTAACTGTTTTATAGTTAAAACTCTTCCCCTTTTCCAGTTCAATGTGCAGAGACAACGCAGATGTTTGTTTGGCTCAACTACAGCTGTGAGTTTGGAATTGTTTGTAGCTTTTATTATGTTGTTTGATTTTTTTATATTATTTTATACAAATATATTAATAATTTAACTAGAATTAAAACATTACAAGAATCTCATAGACTCTAACAAGAATCTTGTTTTTAAGTGACTTGCCTGATTAAATAACGTACTTTTTAAAAAATGAAATAAAAAAATGATAATAAAATAACCTAATACAGGACAAGCAGTTTGGAGAATGGATGCAAAATGAAATTAAATTTAAAAAATATTAAAAACTCTCATAAAAATGTTAAATTAAATATTAAACACTTTGTGATTTTCTTCCTCGTTTTTGTTTTGGTGACAGGAATATTCCACGTTGCTATAGCTTCTTATATTTTTAATTCTCGTTCTTTTTTAAATACTGTTAATTGAAATGATTTGTCATGGAGTGAGGGGAACTAAAATAGCCTAGCTATGTTTACAGCGTTTATTAAAATGTTTGTAAACATTTCGCGTCTGCATTAGGCCTATTTCTGAAAGAAATAATAAAATGCGACTTATACTCGACTTGCATTTTTTTCTTCTAAAAAACGTTTTCTTAATTAATATATATATACACGCGTAGCGTATTTTAACCATGCAGCAAACCTTTTTAAATATTTTGATAAATGACTGAAAAAAAATTAATAAATGACTTTTTAAACCGTTTAACTGATTGTATTATTCGGTCAAAAATTCTTACGGTCGGTTTACGGTTAACCGGTTAAAATGAACATCCCTAGGTTCAACCTTAATTTTATAAAGCTATGAGAATACCTTTTGTGCACAAAGAAAACAAAAATTACGACTTTACTCGATTTCTTCTCTTCTGCGCCAGTCTTCGACGCGCGTTAACGACGCGCTTGAATGTGGTAGTTGCATTGTTGTCTTTGCAGGGTCAGAAAGCTCTCAAATTTCATCAAAAATATCTTAATTTGTGTTCCGAAGATGAACGAAGGTCTTACCGGTTTGGAATGACATGAGGGTGAGTAATTAATGACAGAATTTTAATTTTTGAGTCAACTATCCCTTTAAAATAGAAAAAACTATATTGTCAACCCAGCCATAGCGAAGTGTCATTTTTTCCATGTTTAAATACTTTCTCCTATCCCATTTTAATATCTGACGATAAGTAAGCCTATACAAATAATTCACCCAAAAATGAATATTCTGACATTCCTCACTCATCCTCAACCTGTATGTTATTTTTCTCCATGCAACAAAAAAAAAGATTTTTTAAAAAATGTTTTAAAAAAACAACAACAAAAACATCAAAGCACCAAAGTCATGGGGTTAAAGACATTAAACATGGCGCTATTTTCGTAGTGTCACACAAAAACCTGAGGGTGAGTAAATAAAGACAGAATTATAATTTTTGGGTGAACTATCCCTTTAATTTCCTAAGAAGTTTAAATGTGGCTCTACAAAAATTGGTGTCTTTGAACATGTCTAACATGGCAACACTGACTCAACTAATAGCATGTGTTTAGGGTGGGAATCTGTATGAACAGTCCATTTTAAGGCAGTCAGCAATTATATTTGGTGCTTTTAGTGGCATGAACATGACACACTTCACCTTCAAAGTAACTGTATATGAATGAACTGTATATGCGGTCATAGAACAGACCTGTCCAGCTCTTTCTCCAGCTGCTGCTGTTTCTTCTGTAGCTGTTCTTTCTCTGAGCGTAGGGTGCTGCTCTCACTCTGCAGGCTGATCTTCTCTTTCTGCTGTTTATCAGCCAGCTGCTCTCTCTCTGACCTCAGAGACGCACATTCCCTCCTCAGGCTCTCACAGTCCTTCTGCAGCCGCTCCAGCTCGCTCGCTGCATCACACACACACACACACACAATTAAATACATACACAAAGACATGCACACAAACACACAGATATAGCACATGTGCGCACACACACAGACACAGACTCACAATGCTACTCTGTTACATAACGGTGGAAGTGATGTGAGAAATGTGAGTCATCTTCTGAATATCTGTCGGATTACTGCAAACACTGCTGTGACTGTTGTTGGATGAACCTAGGGCTTGATTGTAACCTCCACAAACACATTATATCATTCATTAGGTTTCTGAGAAGGGAGGACAAATTCCCCAAAGAGATTATGAATGTGCAGACACAGACTCACAATGCTACTCTGTTACATAACGGTGGAAGTGATGCGAGAAATGTGAGTCATCTTCTGAATATCTGTCGGATTACTGCAAACACTGCTGTGACTGTTGTTGGATGAACCTAGGGCTTGATTGTAACCTCCACAAACACATTATATCATTCATTAGGTTTCTGAGAAGGGAGGACAAATTCCCCAAAGAGATTATGAATGTGCAGAAGACATAAAACAGCCTTAATTTAATTGGGAACAAATACAGAATTTTAGTCCGATGAGGTTATAGTCATTTAATTATTTATTTTTATTAATTTGTTCCATTAAAATCTTAATCTTGAAATTGCATTTATTTTTAAAGGGAACAGGTTACATTTTTGTATCCTGATTAAATGAATACTTTCAACATTGTACAATAATGTTTGCATCATTATTATTATTATTATATGCTCAGAAAATTGTGATGTGTTAATGCCAAGTTGATGATGATTATATTTAGTATTTTTTAATAGAGGTATTGTTTTTAATTTGTAATGTATAGTTGTTGTTGTTATTGTTATTATTATTATCATCATTATTATAAGAGGCTCAGAAAATTTGGTCATGAAAATTTGATAACTCATATTATACTCGTATAGTATTTGTAATGTATAGTTATTATTATTACTACTACTACTGCTAATAATAATACATTCTATGATGATGATGATGGTGATTGTTATTAAGTGCATTAAGTGATATGATGAAGATGATTATTGTTATTAAGTGCATGAAGTGTATTAAGATTATTATTAATTAATATTATCATTATCAAATCCAATATTCTTATTAATGTGAAATATAAATATAGATGAATTTGCATTTAGGTATACACAATACATGGATGAGAAATGTTGAGGTCCTTACATGACTTTTAATATTTAAAGAGGCTTAAAATGCTATAGGCCAATCATCTGCAATGATAGAGGTCTGTGGGGTTGTGGGTACCTTGCTGCTTGGCAGCTATGTCTCTCAGCTGGTTCTGCTGCTGGTGATTGGCCTGTACACTGTCGAGCTCACGCTCATACTTGTTTGCAGCCAACTGCCATTTCTCCAGCTCAGAAGTTAGCGTTGCTAGGTTCCCTTTCAGTGCGCTGACCTCATGCTCTCGCTCGGCTGCAGTTTTCTCCATAGTGCGGCGCAACACCTGCACTTCCTCATGAGCTGTGTGCGCTTCCTGTCGCAAGCTGAAGATTGAGCTGTCCTTCTGATCCCTGAGATTCTCCATATCTTCCTGCAGCTTCTGGAGCTGAGCTGAATGCACATATAGACGCAAAGACCAATTGGTATAATACATTGTTTAGTAAATATAACTTTACTTAAGACATACACACGCTCCTTGACTTACTCTGTAAGACCTTTATCTGTTTTGCTGACTCCTCCGCCTGCTGCTTATTGGCTCTTTTCTCCTCCTCCAATAGACCTGTAATATACAGCACAGGTCATTAGGGGGACCTGTTGAGCATGACTGCCATTCCAAATAAATTTCAAATGTTCACAAGCGTATATAAATATGCATATAATAACTAATATTCAAAAACAAATAAATAACAATTATAATAATATTTAATTGTTTTTTAAACTATGTAATATTTGTTGATTATGTAATATTTATAATCGTTTATAATAATATATTAAATAATTATAAATGTATTAAATAAAGTAATTAATAAAGCATTTTATAAAAATAAAAATATATACAGTATAGTCAGGCAAAGGGGAGCACTGATTTAGAATCAGTTTTTGTCTCGTATATAATTGTACAAAACAAAATTCAAATTCATACTCAAATGGGAGTAATTTCTGTGCAGTTAAAGCTACTGTATATACGTTTTTTGTTTGTTTTTTTACCTTGAAACACAAGTTTCAAAATCATTCTGATGGTAAACTTCTGTTTCTTTCCCAAGCTCCCCCCTCAAAAGTCTGTTCTCGGAGTATGTAAGTTTGGCGATTGGGTATGAAATTCCGCAAAAAGGGTGGATTGCTTTACGGCAGCAATAAATGCACTAATACAGCCTTCCACTGTAATTCGACAGTGATGTGTTTACAACAGTGAATTCCACTCTTCAATGTTGCAAAGATGCACACAACTACATAGAGCTGCTTTAAAGTCCCTCTTTTACCTTGGAGTTCAATACACTTGTGTTTGCCCGAGTTGGCCTGTTCATTGGCTTCCTGAAGTTCTTGGTTCAGCCGCTGGATGACCTTCTCAGACTTACTGGCCTCCACAGTGCTCCTGCTCAGCTCATCTGGAGAAATGATTACACATCCACCGCTGATGACATCTAATGGGAACTATTACATGCATAATTAGACACTATTATGGCGCTCTGCTGTCAGAGAATCACTCTTTCGTCAACCGTTAATGGGTGATCTGTGTCTTTATCTCTGTATCAGCATCAATGAGTTGCATTTCAACTTTGCCGGATTGTTCTGCCCTCTGACGAAGTGCAAACCCTGTCTCCAAAGGTTAATTAAATCAGAATGAATCGCATGGTAATTTCCCTGGAGGTCAGAAAATGGGCCTATTCCATGAATTAATAACTTGACTCGGAATAGATCTATCCTAAAAACATAATGTCATCAGATTGGTTTAAACTGGGATCTGCAAGAAGGATAGCTAGGGTTTTAATAAAGCTGCCATTTGATTAAAAGTTTTAAATGTTCTAATGTTATACAGTGCCATTTCATAAAGAATCGGAAAAGTCTTTAGACTGCTATAAAAAAACATTAATGAAGATTTTCAACTGATCCATTGCTCTGTAAAAGTTACAGTACATTTACTGGCTGTAATTTAGATTGCCTAAACTTAGAAACAAACCTGCTCCTCTTCCTCTAAATATGGGTTGCTGAAAACCAGGCCATCTTATCAAATGCTCCAGAAAGATATGACCTCATCTTCCAAACTCAAGGGTGCATACCATAAATGGCCATATCAAGGATATATCATTGCAATCAGAGAGACGTAATTCCAGAAAATTGAACTTCACACGCCTCGCTTGCATGACTAAACTAAAATACCGAAGCCTGTGCAGGCCAAACACAACCGCCAGAGCAGAGAGGACGGAGGCATTAACGTTTCATGAGGTATTGCGGTGGGTAATGTTTATTGATGCCATTCTGCATCAATAACTCAATCTCTCAGCAGGGTACGAGGGCACATAGGAACACTCTGGCCTAATTTATATTAGAGTCTGTGCAGGAGGAAGATAGTCATACAGACAGGAAGACAAAGTCAGACAGACAAAATTTATGTCATGATTAAAGTATTAGCACAGGCTGGAAAACCAAAACCATTCCATTGCAGCTAATGACAACAAAATTCTGCCAAACTACTTTGCACTCAACTACTGAAGTGCACTGCAAAAATATAGTTATAGCCACATAAAACATATTTTACAGAAATTAACAAAATAAATATGAATACATTTTATTTATCTCTCTATCTGTCCTTTTGTCCTTGTTAAAAATAATAAAAATGCATTATAGAAATATTTTATGCAATATTTAAAAAATACATCACAGACACTTACTCCAATTCTGCTCAAAAATAACTAGATTTACATGGTCAAACAATCTATATTTTAGACCCACAGTACTTTGGCATACTGTAAACAAAATAAAAAATATATAAAAAAACAAGGTTTAATATCCTATAAATGAATGCCTAATGGGACAGTAAAGCACTATAGTATGGTTCAAAACACTTCAGCAACTATAGAAACTCAAGTGCAGTAATGTGATTTTTACCTTTGATAAGAGACACTTTATTAATAGGATCATTCAGCTTCTGTTCCTCCATTGTTTTCTCCACTGTAACAAAGGAAGCAACTATGTTAATGTTACTGTAAAATATTAAGTTCAGCTATTTATTTTTTTTAGATATAGTAATTGGCTTGAATAGTAAAGAAAATAATTACAAAATTCCAGGTGATGCCAATTATGACTCAGCTAGTCAATGAGGCGGAAAACTAAAATAATCACAGTTTTCCTAAATGGCAACAGATTTTTAAAGAAACAAACACAAGTCTTCATCTTTTCCTGTTTTAAACGTCAAATCATAGCCCACATTCAAAGCATAACGTCATGCCAGTTATATAACACAGCTTAGCGTCATTGTATCAATTAAGAAGATTACTCATCACCTTCACTTTAGTCTGAGGAGGACTAAACAGATGCCGTTACCTGAAGACTCGTGATGTCACTTCAGCCGGTGCAGAAACAGCTGCAATATTCAAGCTTCTTTAACGATCGATTCGCTCCGGTGATGAGAACTGGACGAGTCCATTCTGAAGCGCGGGGGGCACCGACGCATCTATATATCGTGTCTGGGGGTTCACCTGACAAAACCAGACAGCAAAACGGTTGGGTGGAAAAGAATACGATATAGAAGCGCTGCTGAAGTATATTGTACTCTGAGGGGTCGTTTTCTTTGCGGAAATTATTTGCATGCGTCGTCAGGTGACGCCCCCTTGGAGGTGGTGGTCTGGAGGTCTCGCTCACATGGGCAGACAAGCGTCCTGAGGCATCTGAAAAGAGGCTGCAGCTGCATTGTAGAATACACTCAGGCCCATTGTTTCACTCATTAGGGCGTCTCTTATGTAAAAACGGTTAACAATAGTGGTCATTCGTGCTTGCATCAGTGCCAAATTCCAACCAAAGCACTGTGATTTGATAAATTATAGTATAAGTGATTAGTGGCGTGTCAAGATGTCAATCACGTGACACGCCGATCATTTGAAGGTGAACATAAAAGTAAACATGCAAAATACACCCCTGATCCTTAACAACTACATGCATTTATTTATGGTCACATATTTATTTAATAGTTTAGAGGGTATCGAGATGTAAACAACACTGATTTTGAGTGGGGGGTGGGGGCGGGGCACTCAAAATCATACCAACATGATGTTGATATGGGGGGGGTGACTTAAAATAGTATGAAGTTATTATTTTACATTAATCTGCTTCCACTTTCTCAGATAATTGTAATTGATTGGCTATCAACTGATATGGGTCAACACCATCAAATGTAAAAAATGTGTGACCTTATATATAAATATTGACAAATCTGGCATTTAAGGCTACAGAATGGCTTCAGATCTATTAAACTATCAGATAGATAGATTCAGGCTGACTTATGCTGGCTACTTTTTCTAAATTTGTCCAACAAGGCAACTGATGTGGAACTAAGAGAGTTTGCCATGCTCAGAGAAAGACTGAAAGTGTTTGTATGGATCTTTCCTGTGTTGTCATGGCGACAGAGCAAACCTGTCTCATTCATAGTTCTTGCCCACCTAAGTGCTGACTGCACAAGATGGACTGAGAAAAATCAGACCCGATCACCAGCGGAGAATATCACTCGGCTTGAAGTGACCTTGTCCAGTGCCATCACTATAATTGGCACTGGACAAGACTTGAATCCTTGAAAGGGATGAGTCATGGTCATAAATCCCTGCAATATAAGCATCCAGAAGCTTTAATGACAACAAAATGAAGCCGAGTTTGTCTAAGATTTGAGTCTAAAAATGGGCCTCAAGTGCCTGCGCAATTCAGTGTTTTGTAGGCTAGATTAAGAAGATTAGACTATTTCTCTATCACTCCCATTTTCTTTTATACTCTCTAATACTTAATACTTTTATATTCACTATTAAATGTTTTTTTTTTAAACATTGAAACAGCATTTAATGATTTTAAAAAGGTTAACAAAATACTTATAAATTAATGTTGAAATTTCAACAAGATTTATATGTTGAATCAGTATGTCTTCAATGACATACAAAGGAAATATCTACCTTTTTAATTATAATAATAATAATTATTATTTTTATATATTTTGGTCATAAGGCCTCTTCAAAAATCTAATTGTCCATCATCATTAATAGGAATCTACAGCCCAGGTGCAGACAAAAGTGTTGGGGTTTATTTTGTGATAATATCCAGCTGATTGTACATGATCCAGAATATTATATGATGAAATATTGATTTAAGAATTATTTTATAATTTCACCTTTATATTATCTCAATGCTTCCGCTAACGAAAATAGTCCAATACAATGTACAAAATGATCAGCCTTGCAACAAGACAAACACTGCAACAACAGTGATATTAATACCGATTAGGTTATTTTCAGTACATTTGATAACTGAATAGTTGTGTTTGTATGTAACAGAAGTTTGCTGAGTGATAGGAGAAATATAAAAGTAGCCATGGATGATGAATTAACCAATCAGAATCAAGTATAACAGAGTGCCATGGAATAATAGTAAATAATGAAGGAAAAAAACAATTAGTAAGTAGCACTCAGCCATGACTAAACCAACATGATATTGTTTGTATATGTATCACAAAGCCAGACTAAAGCCAGCTGTGAGGCCGTTAGACCCTGCAGGAAAACACACACAGTGCTGTGAGAGTCAGTGACGCAAAAAGTAGTGCATGTGTGAGTAAAGTTCATTTCGAAGGCAGACAGGTAAAACTGTCCCGGTAAGAGGGCAGCGCCGCAGGCTCCTGCTGAGAAGTGTGAGAGGAGAGCAGATGGCGGAAAGGGCAGGAAAAAATCAGACAGAAGGGGGTTGCTGCTTTTTCGCCACAAAAAACAGGGCCGTAGCAGACAGCCAGCATGAGGTGGGCTAGAAAGACAGCGGTGATCCCTACACCAGCAGTCTGTGTGGCCACGACCACTGTTTACCATAATAGAGAACAATACAGAAAAGGCATGCAGCGTTTCTCAACCATTGAAGATATAAAAGTATGATGCACTGTTTTGATCTGATCACTGTTTATTGTTCAGACTGAATTGACTGATGTTCAGGAAACTTCTTGTGCACTTCAGTGTGTACGACCGTCATTCAAATGAACACATTACACATTACTACCTCCAGTATCAGACGTGCCATGGTAGAGGTTTATCTCTAGTCATTGTCATGCTGCAGGTTATTGTGATAATGAGTTACTGATGTTATAATTGTAGATATAGAGGTATACTGATTATGATACTGAGGGTATTAAACACTTACATGAATAATTGTACAGCATTCTTTCAGCATTACCTCACTATAGTTATACTGTCTGTACTATAAATTCTCAAGGGGTGCTAAATTCATCTATTAGTCTTAATATATTCCACCTGAAAAGGGACGGCATAGCAATTATGAGATCATATAAAAACAAATTCTGTGCAATATATCAGTTTCCGAAGCTTTAAAAAAGTCTTTTTTCTTGCTATACGCTTTACGCACTTAATATTTATAGATTTGAAGGTGCTTAATACTGGAAATTTGTTAATTACTAAAACAGCAGTTGAATCTAGATCTATATGAATATCTAGCTGATCATTTAAAGCCAATGAGTATATTTATGGAATTCCTGAATCTACATTGTATAGTTCTGGAATACATAAATAGTATTAAGCACTGTACATTTTATGGTTTGTTTTGTATGTTTCGTATTCACATTATTACTGTCAAGTTACCCATCAAGGCTGACAAACAGTTTTGCACCACTTTGGCAGTCATAAAACAGTTCTTGTAATTTGGCAGATCAGTCTGCAGACTCCATTCCAGATGAATGAGATGGTGATTTATGAAGAACTGTAAATAAAAAACCCAGAAGACTTCCATATCAGGCCACAGTCATTTCTGTTTCACAGTCTTTTCTCTTCAGCCACCACCACATTGTCAATTTGTATATTTCTAACCACATTACTTGTCTCCAGTCAGAGAAGTGCTTTGAAAAGTCCGCCATAATGGTGGTCTATTAAAAGGCAATCTCACATTTTTTGTCCCCATTTCATAGGCTTCCCAGTCCTGGTCCTGGAAAGCCGTGATCTGTCCAGGTTTTGGCTCCAGCCTGGGTTTTAACACCTGATTGATCAGGTAATCTCATCCTCTGCCTGTAAGAAGTTAGGTTAAGACAGTGATAAAGAGAGGATGTAGTGTCAGGCAGGAGGAAGACCAAGAGGACAACGCAGCCATCCAGAATCAGAACTAGCAATCCTTTCCATGCTGGTCTTTTGCTGGTTTTACAGCACTGTCGTCGCTCCTCACACGCTGTTCTTGTCTGGGAGCTCGGCCTCGGGGGTGCGGGGGAAGTAGACGGTGGTCTTGTGCTCTTCATAACGGTCAATGTGCTTGAGGTGGACGACCATGTGCAGGGCGTAGGCCAACACCAGCAGCAGAATCAGAGAGGTGATCAGGCCCATCAAGATTGCTGGAGTGAAGAAGGTTGCACAGTCGCTTGCTGAAGCAAACTTGTTGGACTGGACATTAAAGGCTTGGATCTGGGGAGGAAATGTATAAAATAAATGTTTTCTGTCTGAGATACTGTAGTTAAAAATAACAAATACATTTCTTTCAATTAATTCCTGTAGCTGAGGCAGTAAAGCATGGAACTGAACAAGTGTTTACCTTGAATGCAATGTAAGTCACTTTAGATAAAAACATCTAAATGCAACATCTAAAAACATCTAAAAGCCAAATGCATAACACGTTTCAGGATAAATAGCAGTCGGCAAATATCAATGACAATTATGCTTAATAAATAGAGAGAATAGGAAATCGTGATCACGATTAAAATACACTGAACTGACTTGATCTGAATAATGACACTATTGTTTTTTAGAGCTGCTTTACAGCAGAATATGAACTGCCTCCATAGTTCAGTTTCCATAATTGATTCTGCTATTTTCCTGTTTTTTTCCCCCTGCTTTGACATATTCTGTACTGTATGAAGTGCTACACTCTCAGAAAAAAAGTTACAAAAGTTGTCACTTGGGCGGTACCTTTTCAAAAGGCACACCTTTGTACCTAAAGAGTCCATATTGGTACCACAAAGGTACATATTAGTACCTAAAGTGTGCATATTAGTACCTAAAAGGTACAAAAGTGTACCTTTATGAAAAGGTACCACCCCAGTGACAGCTTTTGTACCTTTTTTTCTGAGAGTGCAGACAGGTAAAACTGTCCCGGTAAGAGGGCAGCGCCGCAGGCTCCTGCTGAGAAGTGTGAGAGGAGAGCAGATGGCGGAAAGGGCAGGAAAAAATCAGACAGAAGGGGGTTGCTGCTTTTTCGCCACAAAAAACAGGGCCGTAGCAGACAGCCAGCATGAGGTGGGCTAGAAAGACAGCGGTGATCCCTACACCAGCAGTCTGTGTGGCCACGACCACTGTTTACCATAATAGAGAACAATACAGAAAAGGCATGCAGCGTTTCTCAACCATTGAAGATATAAAAGTATGATGCACTGTTTTGATCTGATCACTGTTTATTGTTCAGACTGAATTGACTGATGTTCAGGAAACTTCTTGTGCACTTCAGTGTGTACGACCATCATTCAAATGAACACATTACACATTGCTACCTCCAGTATCAGACGTGCCATGGTAGAGGTTTATCTCTAGTCATTGTCATGCTGCAGGTTATTGTGATAATGAGTTACTGATGTTATAATTGTAGATATAGAGGTATACTGATTATGATACTGAGGGTATTAAACACTTACATGAATAATTGTACAGCATTCTTTCAGCATTACCTCACTATAGTTATACTGTCTGTACTATAAATTCTCAAGGGGTGCTAAATTCA